CTTGATGGAACACTGCCCCAAGTACGATCTTAACCCTCATACCAAAGATTTCAGATTGTGTGCACTATATTTAGAGTTCAGGTGTCAACATCAAGTCACTTCAACTGGTCTTCACACTGGAACTTCGTTGAAAGAACTGGACAACCGTTTAGGTCCAGGTAAACATGATATTGATAACTATTTAGTGATCGTAAATTATGCTACTACTACTAATTAGTATATATTTCCAAGTAGAACAAAAGTGTATCAGTATATTTTTTGTTATAAACGAATGAATAGAAAACTTCCATTTCTGACGTTTCGTAACTTCGTATAAGCCACTTCTTCAGGACAAATAAATAACCGAATTGGGTACAATCACTCTATTCATCAGGATATAACAAACAAAATATTTATTATGAACTCTCTACCCAATACTCAATTTATTTCAAACGATCAGGTCTAACCTTGGCATTGATACATATAAAAAGTGAATCAGCTTTGAAACCCCTGGTGACGTTGGCTTCCATGAAAAACTATAAATTACAAGACTTATTCGTCGTAACACACTACCGTGTTTACTTCAAGCCATCATTAAACGTCTATGGTTTATCTAGGAATTTACTTTTGTTGAAGATTCCAATAGATATCTTTGGTTAAGATCAATTAGAAGGAATTAAAAACGTACCAAATAGATCATTCTTAATCGTACACACACGTTGATTGCTCTCATTGGATATGTGTCAGTATCCCCAACCTTCAACATCCCTATACCTTGACAATATACATTTTCCATGAGAAACTAATCAATTTTTCATTGCCATTTCAACAGTTATTCAAGTTTATCTTAATCCGTTTGTCTTTATAATGTCGGTTTTCATAGGATTCAAATCAAAACCCATCATTGCGTGCAAACGTCCGACGGTAGCTCATTTAAACTTGGTTAGTTTAATTTTACCTAAAATCACTAAATTTACAGCTTGTCGAACCTGACATTTTCACCCACATACAACCGAACGCTAGTACTGCATATATTCGAAAACAAAGCAATCGAAGTACGATAAATGTATCCGAAATAACGATACAAATGACAGCGATTTATTCTATTAAATAAGAGGAACAAGTCTTTAAAAATAGTGGTTAATTTATAGTTTCGATCATGGAACAGTGTACCTTCTTCACCTGGACTTATGCACCTTTCGTCAGCCAGTCAAAAGCAGGAGACAACCTGGCACATGTAAACATCAGTTCAAGTTTTCATATCACATTAGCACCAGATAAAAAAACCAGTGAAAATAAAATAGTAGCAGAGTTGGTGAGAGGAATTGCCATAATAAAGATTAAAGACCGATAGTACGATTTGGGTTAGTGAACTGAAATTTCCTTTAGGTAATCTAGGAACTTAGGATTTCAGAAAGACAAAGAATGAATGTATTCGAAATCGTCAGAGCGAATTACAAGGTAGTGAATAAAGTGACATTATAAAAGACTAAGTATTGAAGATATGACTCAAGAAAGTATAAGTTAGTAAAATAAAAAGATTATGTGGGACCTAAAAACCTAAAATCTGAGGACGTGAATGAAAGTGCGCGATTGTAAGGGATTCTGAGACGTGCCACCCAACGTCTTTGATGATTGGTTGTGATAATCACGTGGATCTAACAGAGCCCACCACAGGAGAGTTGTTGTATCTTCCAACCACATCTAAACATATTAGGTAGCCAGAAGTAGTTGGCAGGAAATCCTGTACCTACCTTTCGTGCTAGTTGTCACTTACCAACAATCTTGAGGCAAGTGATATTCTAGCCAGCATAGCTTACTTCCGTAGTCTGAGGCATTAACCGCCTCACTATTCTGGAGCGATTAACGTACGAGGGAACTAGAACACTAGCGTTTTTCGATCACTCAGTACTGACTAATGTGTCATAGATTTCCCATCTCTCTAGAGAGTTTCACATAAAACTACATCCAACCAACTAACATGATAACTACGTGCATATGATCCTAAATCCCTTAGACGAGTGATTATATTGCCGTACGTTCGATCGAATATGACCACTTGGATTAAATGACTAGATGAACATGACTTTGGTCACTAACCAGTGATTAATCAATTGTAACAAATAAGTTGAAACAACTCTAACTGTAAACAGAACGCGTAAACTCAGAACAAGTACTTAAACAAGTGTAAAACAATCAACATATGTTTTATTTACAAGAAAAAATAAACAAACAGAAAAAAAGTAGACATTTTACAAATTATATTTTTTATTTGTCAGAAATGACTATATCATTCGAGCTTCTTCAAGTGCAGAACCATGTGGATCAGATCCAGTTGTTGTTGATGGTGGTGGTGGACCAAGTGGACGTCGCCCAGATGACCAACCACCTAAAGAACCTGGAGTATATTCAACAATTGCACAATCCACATAATCACCAATCTGAAGAAAAAGTAACAACAACTACAGTATAATTACGTTAATCAAAATATGAACAGTAGTATACTATATCCAATGAATAATTCTGATGAATTGTTAGATTATTGATCACAATCACCAAGTAAATGTTTTTAGATTCAGCATAGAGCGATAAATCAACATGAGTTTAATTACTGGCAACATCGTTCGAGTGGAGCAGGATACATAAAGATGACATAATTAATACAACTGACAAATCAGCGTTTCAACTGACCAGGGATTTCCCATGAATTAAAAAGTGTTCTAATCTGAAGTCATTGATTTTATTCTTTAGAATAAACTGTAAAACATGATGTATTAGCTAAAAATGCCGATTAAATCGAACAATCTTCATAATATCCTGAAATAACAAGTACCATGGTATATACAAATCACCAATTTCAACAGGTAAATTACAGAAATCTATTAGGAAATCGTCAACAGAGCAGTTATTTCACCACATCAAGTGTGAGGCAAATACCATCAGTGATAATGAATGAAAGTTATAGAATATTGTGAATTAAATGAAGTTGGGAATTGTTGTGAACGGGGAAATAAGAAGCCCAGACAAACTACGAAAGACATTTCTTGGGATGTTATTTCATTTCATTCAAACCTTGTAAACACATATTTATTTTTGTCCCTATTTTATTCTACATAACATGAGCTTTCGTTCTATGTAACATTTACTGCCATACCCTTTTTTGTTCCGAAACTATTGTAATTTAAATATAATATTTTGCATCTTATTTTCTACCCTAATTCCCAGTTTCGGGCATAATTGTATTTTTCCAAATTATCGTACGTTGTGGTCAGGATATTCACTTGTTTATTCATGTACATTTTGCACTAATCCGAATTCAGAATTCAGTGTTCCAACTGTCTTGTGTCCTCTCACTTGCCTGCTTGCCAACCAATCAGGTTCTAAAATAGTTCTCTCTCTACCCCATCTCGAACTCACGCGTACCAGACTCAAGGTTAAGCCGATCAGCCTATCGCGCAAAGGTTATAATCTAGACTAGACAGATCAGGGTCAAGTCATAGCAAAATATCGACGGGGTAAAAGCGATTCAAGGTCATGACAGGAATGTAAACCACTGGATGTCACCTTAGTCAACTGTAGGTTAAGAAATCACCACAAAGCTTAAATTACCTAATTTTGTTGATAAGATTGTGAATGTGTACCACTAATGAATGGTATA